CACGACTGGCATCCTCATGTCCCCCTCTGGGGCCTTGTCCCCAGTGTGGAGTTGGTCAGTAGAGATGAGAAAAAAGTGTACTGAGGCAGTTGCAGTCGTGGTCGTCAAGTTCCTGTCTCCTTGCCAGCGCAGCCCGGATGGCCTTCCAGAACCATGACCCAGCTGCCACCAGCGTGGCTGCCGCCCGTAAAGGAGCTGAACCCAGTGGGGGCGCTGCCAGAGGCCCCGTGGGCAAGAGGCTGCAGCAGGAGCTGACGACCCTCGTGATGTCTGGGGACAAAGGAATTTCTGCCTTCCCTGAATCAGACAACCTTTTCAATGGAGCAGCTGGCACGGTACATGAAGACCTGAGGTATAAGCTGTCCCTCGAGGTCCCCAGTGGCTCCCCCTACAATGCACCCACAGTGAAGTTCCTCACGCCCTGCCACCACCCCAACGTGGACACCCAGGGTAATATCTGCCCGGACATCCTGAAGGACAAGTGGCCTGCCCCGTACGACGTCCGGACCATCCTGCTCTCCATCCAGAGCCTGCGAGGAGAACCCACACGCCGCCCAGCTCTGGAAGAACCGCACAGCCTTTAGGACGTACCTGCCAGAAGCGTGCTCCAAGCAGGTCTCCAGCCAGGAGCCCTGACCCAGGCCGTCAGCCTCTCCCTCTGTCGTCTTACTTTTTCCTTATTTGGTCCATCCTTGATTTCTGTTAGGACTCTGTATCTTGAGCTGTGGTGGTCTTTTTGTTTTGTTTCCGTTTTTTAAGTTAAGTGTCACATATTAAATAAATGCATTTTAGTTGGTTTTTGTTTAATAAAAAAGAAAAAGAAAAAGAAAAAAAATTGTACTGAGCTCTGAAGGGAGCTCAAAACTTCTAAGGCCCATGTTAGCCTATAGAATTAAAGATCGATGGGGCCCGAGACCCCAACGGCTCCCCTTAGACATCTGACGACCTCACTGGACAAGCTTCAGGTAACCCTTAAAGTGTCTAAATTAATTTCTGTCTAAATCAGTGGTTAAGGTTGTTTTCAAAAGTACACTCATACAAAAATAAATAACAATAATAATAAACAAGTCGACTGACCATGTGACAAATAAAAAGATAAGACCTAGCCGGAGGGGAGGCATCTCTATCAGCAACTGAAAGTTCTTGTTGCCTCCCCGACTCTGTCCTCCCATCCTTGCCTTCCTGCACTCAAAAACAAAAACAAGGGGAACCAGCAGTTAGTGTAATGGCTATGTCGCTGGACTCCCACGTAGTCGACCGCAGTTCGCGTCCCGGACCCGGTGGCTTAAAACTCACGCCGGGCGCGTGTGCGTGTGTGCCTAAGATCCCGAGAGGAGAATGGAGGAGAAGGGATTGCGGCGTGGCCATCCCCTCCTGGGGGGTGATTTCTCGCTTTCTGTCTCTATGTCTCTCTCTCTCTCTCTGTCTGGCAAGCGCACGCGCTGTACAGCGAAAACCTCTCCAAAAACAAAACAAAACAAAACAAAAAAACAAAGAAATTGGCCCAGAAACAGTTACTGTTATCAAATGTTAGGCCAATATTTCCCGAGGCCTTTCAGCAAGTCATCATAGATCAAATACACCAGATTACCCACCTAAAAAACAAAGCTTACTAAGCCGATTTTTAAAAATACTTTGTGCCTAGTCTCAACGGCCTCATCAATAGTGTTGTCTCAAAATCACAAATAAATCACAAAATAAATAATCCTAAACTCTAAGACAAGACTCCCTTAAAAATGAAATCCCCCAAATTAAAAAACTTTAAAAATATTTTAAAAAATCTATAGTGTCTTAATAGTTCAGTCTCTAAATAAAATAAAACTAAATAATATAAGACTAGCCTGGTTTTACTTTTAGTTATTAAAAAAAAAAAAAAACACCTTAAGTAAATAACTTAAAATAATAGTTAAACAAAAATTAAATAAATATAAATAAAATAAATGTTTATAGTTAAACTTGTCTATTAAATTAAAATAATTCTTAAAATTAAACTTATAAAAATAAAACAAAAAATACAAAATTATAACTATAAAAATATATTTCTAATAAAAATTTTATATAAAAATGTTTATATAATAAAGTTTTTATCTTAAAATAACTATCTCAAAAAAAAACAAAAAACTTAAAAAACTAAACATATTAAAAGTTTAAATGGTAAAAGTCTAAAAAAAGATACAAAAATTAATCAAGTTAATGTTTTAAAAATAATTATACTATCTTTAAATGTTATGTTCAATAAAACAACTAAAAAAGAAAAAACACAATGCTCCTCCAACTAGTCTAAATAGAGCCTCACGTAGTTAACCTAGCTCCTCCTACCGATGTTAAAGCTAGCCTATAGATCTGTCACACCGAAGCCAAAAAGACTGCTGCCGCAGACTCTCCAGGGCCTTGGTCTATAAAAATAAGCCAGGAAGGTCCTTTCTGACTACTTCGGAGCCAGAGAGCAGCAGCCCTGCTCCACTCCCTCCAGAACGGACTACTCTAAGTCGGGCATTGGCAGGAATATGGCCCAGCAGCTCCACGACCAGATGGTCAGAGAAAGGACAGGCTGCCTGACTCATAAAAAAGTTAGAGTGGGGACCAGCAGTTGGCATAATGGCTATGTCACTGGACTCCCATGTAGTTGACCACGGTTTGAGTCCCAGGCCCGGTAGCTTAAATTCACGCTGGGCGTGTGTGCGTGCGTGCCCAAGATCCCGAGAGGAGAATGGAGGAGAAGGGATTGTGGCATGGCCATTCCCTCCTGGAGGGCGATTTC